CAAAATGCTCTCTTTCTCCTTATTTTTAGACAAAATCGTCACAAAATACCACATGTTTTCCTATCGATAAATGAACAGAATATGTATCATTTATTTTTTTCAAATCGCGATCAAATAATAGCCAATTCCGTTGTAGAATTTTTTAAATCAAAAATAGTGTACTTTCAAATCATGGTCAAGAAGTCAGAGCGAATTCGTCCAGTATTAAAAATGTACAGAATGCAATATTTTGTCCGTTGTCCTGACGAGTACCAATAATCCTTGCAAAGAACGACAGGATCTGAATCCTCAATAAAAACACGTGTTAATAATTTTCTTCGAATTTTAAGGAATTCCTCACAAATTGAAAGAGCTGGTTATGATCATACATATGATATACATATGTAAAATATGAGCACACGACACAATTGTCCGCAAGTCAACCATTTGTACCACTGAGGCTACTATGTAGAGAGCAATATACGGCGAAACTTGCTTGAAGTCGATTAGATTCGTTTTCTTTGGTGTGTTTTTATTTACCGTCTCCTTGAGGATCCAAAGTGTGTAATTTGTATAACTGGCGAATTTTTGGCAAGTGAAGAAATGCTTTCGAATGAATCGACATGAAGCATCCACACGATACGACATTTGTTTACGTTTGACAAATATGTGCACTCCCGCAAATCTACACATATTCGTATCATCGACGGTGTTTGCCACCTTTTCACATAATGAAGTAATGTGGTAATTTTGTATGAAATCATTGTTTATCATTTAAAACATATATAAAAGTGAAACGAATTTAGCCGACAGTTCTATCGTGCTATATATGCCTTAACTGCGCTATCTGTAATAATAATTTCAACTAATTTCTTACACCACTGTCCTCCTTTTTACTAATAGAGACAGACAGGAGTTACTTAAATAAGAAGTTTTCTATAATAACATATCAATAATAAAGTATGTCACAAGATGGCAATGGCGTACGATTCGAATTGAAATTTTTAAAATCATAGAGAAATAAGAAGTTATTAGCGATATCACTTGTACAGTTCGATTAACTTTCATTGCAGAATAGTATTCAGAGACAAAACTTGAAGCATTTTTTATGCAAACACAACCCGCATTTGTTTTTATTTGACAAATATTTGGCGAGTGACCCCATCATCCGAAGCCAGTTTGATACCACTTTCTTATGCATCCTACGTACCCACACTGTTACAATGAGCAATCGATTATGTTTCAGTTACCTGACCCTACTGTTATAAAATTGGAAAGTGATAGTGATGTAATTATTTAATAACTCCAAAAACTCAACAAAATTAGTGAACTTATAGGAAACATTATTTTAAAAAAAAAATGTTGAATACTTTGCACTGTCAATAGACTCTTTTTTTTCTATTTTATGTACAGTACATATGTATATGTATATTTTTATAAAGTGTAAGTACTTATTGTTAAATTTTGACCTTGTTGGATGCAGCTTTATCATATTATTTGTATTCAAAGCACTGGCTGACAGCATCTCACACTTTTTTATGCCTCTTACACTTCTTCGACTTCCTTTTGCTTTTTCGAATACTGATCAGCGTATTATGCGTGTATGTCCTTTATGTGGTAACCTGTATTTTTGTATCTGAATTAAATTTCTCAGTGGATATTATTAAATATGAAAGGTATATTTTTATCGTCAATCCGGTGCTTGTGGAATATTAGATAAAAAGTCTGTATTATTACCCAAATAATTTCATCAGCTTGTTTGGACGTTGAAAGTCTCTTGGTTGACCAATTTCAATTTCATATTTCAAAGTGGTGATGAAAGTGAATTGTAGGTATATTCAAGAAATCAAGAGTGAAAATGTTTATTTCCCTGATCTTCTATGAGCTGTGTGAAGTTAACATCGAACTTTAGATAATCAAATTTTTCTTTAATGCACCCCTTTAGTACACAAAATAACAGTGGTACAAACAGGTACAATTAGCATTAAAGAAAAATTCGATTATCTAAAGTTCGATGTTAACTTCACATTGCTGCAGAGCAGGGCAATTTAGTCTATTAGAGAATGACTATTTTATAAAGTTCCGTTTTTCGATGAACTGCGTATCATGAAAAATAGGTAATAGGAAACATACAAAAGGTTTCAACCAATGTGGTTGCAAAAAGTTCAGAGAATAAAATGTGTCTCAGAGATAAACATACTGTGTATTTTCATAAAAACAAAAATTTGGGGAGTTATCATAAAAAGTAGTTTTATATCAAAATATATGTGAAAAATATTAAAAGTTTTAAGTGAACCACCCTGTATTACGAAAAAGGAAGAAGGATCTTCATAAACAGTTTTTGTCCTTAAGATCATGCAGGATTCATTCTCTAAAACAAAACACAAAGTTGTGGAATTATATTGAATAAGAACACACCATCGGAAATAATTATTTTCGTGTAATATTAATAACATTGTACTAACAAGTAGTATTTAGTAGGCGTAAATGTTATTTTTATATAATTCAGAGAATTACTTACTACCCAATTATGTACTAAGAAATATAGTTGAATAATAGTTACTTAATGTAATGATTTTTGGCATTATTTAAATAATATTAAATGAAATTAATGTTTTATCTTTTTCTGGGATTTTCCACAATTTTATGTAGGTAGTATCTTAAACAAATGGACAAGCTTTAATAATGATTCTGTCACGTATTAACAAAAAATCTTATAGTCGCACATTTATAGATTCATATTCGAAAACAATTCTTTTTCGAGGTTTCAGTTGTAAGTTTTTTGTTTCTCATTATATTTGGGTAGTTCTTGGATAAAATCTATGTTCTTTGAAGCTATACGTATATTTCTACTAATGTGTTCAATTTACCGATTGCTGCTTTGGGGGTTCGAAAGTAAAGCTCCCTTGACACCCAAAACGTTTAACCTTTTTTTTAATTTTTGTAGCCGTTTTTAAAACTTTCATATTTTTTTAAATGAAAAATGTATACTTATTTGTTATTAATGCAACCAATCGTTTTCAAGGTAAACGTATTTTAACGATAAAGATACCATACTATTTCCAACATACCTTAAAGTAATTAAAATGAAAACAATAGACTCTTTTAGTGCGACGTCACATATTTAGGCAACCCGCAACAAATTGTCATAGTTGAAATTGTACAGACCGAATCTGACCCTTGTGTACTATTTACATAGATACTATAAATTTATTTTTACGAGGATTTAGAAGTATTTAAGAATAACCAACAAGCGTTTCGTAAAATACACACTTATGTGCTTAAAACTTACAAAAAACGATATAAAAGTATATTCCTAAATTTAAATAAAGTAAAAATTTAACATTAGCCGCATTATTTCTAATGCGCATGCTGGGAGAGAATAGTCTCATACGCAGGTGAGATCTTGTTGATATGTCATCGCACTCATCATTAGCGGTTAGTGGTTGCTTTTCTGTATTACTTTTTTGGTTTTTCCATTTGCTGGCCATGTCTATAGTAGACAAATTGGTGTGAGCAAAGATGGCAAGAGCTGCCATGTGATGGCATGTATCTAATATGGTTTTGGCATATGTGACGTCACTACTAAACAGGTCTATTGGTTCATTATATAACAAAATAAACACACAATGTCAAATAGCATTTAATATTATGTAATTATTTTGCTGCATAAATAACTTTGTATTAATATATTTATTACCGTTAAGATATGTCAAAAATAGTATGGTGTCTTAGTTGAATTTCGAAAACGGTTCGTTGAATCGATCTTATGAAAGTCGATATAACTAAAAAAAAGAAGCCTATAAATTTTCTTGGGAGTCGAGACTGCTTAGTAAATTAATACTTTATTGGAAATAGCTTCAGATAATATTATCCAAATTTAATGAAAAGCATAAAAATTATTACGAAAGCTAGGTTTTTAACTCTCATCTTTAAATATAATAAATCTATAGGCCCAAATAAAATAAGATATTATAAAAGTTACCGTTATTTTTGCGTTACTCGAATCCGAGAAATCACCTACCATTTACTGAACATCCTGTATAGTACCATATTTATCTGTAAAAACTGTGCATCTTTGAAGAAAGAGAAATTTGTATGAGCAAAGATGGCACAGTTGAGATTGAAAATCTCGAAAACTACTTAATCGCACCTCCCCCCACCACCAATCGTACTGATTTTTTTTGGTACAAATAAAACTCCAAGAACTCCATATCCCCACAATATTATGAAACCAAACAGCCCTATCCTGAAATTCTAAACTCATAAGCTTCTAAACTGAAAACTTGGCTGAGGTATACCATAGCGCATCACGATATTTAACTAATGTGGATAAGATTACAGATGTATTTGCGAACCGAAAAAACATCGACTAGAATTTGCTCTTTGAAGCGACTTTTACTTGTTTGTTACATTGTTTTTAAGCAATGTGATTCCTGTTATAACTAAATGTGCCAAACAAAAGATCAAAAAGAATGAACTAATACAGGTTAAAAATTTTCTGCTTAAAAATGTTTCTCAGTTTTCTTTGACTGCGTAACCTTTTTTTACTCTTTTTAGATATGAACCGTAGAAAAGCCCCCTCCCAAATTTATTTCTAGGTCCGCCCTGTATCATAATGTAAACATAACACGAAAGAATAAGTTACATGAACCTTCTGCTTGATCAAAAATAACTGGCGACACAACTAAATCTAGAATTCAAAATATACAATAATTTACCACAATTAGTAAGTCATAGCACGACGGAAACAGTGTTTAAGGGTTAAACGAATTTTTAAGATTTTATTCTCTAACAGAGTATTTTAGCTTTAGTTAATTGTTAGATTTAAGTTTGTGTGACTATTACTATACAATAATGTCTTAATTTCATAAAAGGAAAATGGTGAAGTAAATAATTAAGCTAGTTTATTTTCATGGTTATCAGATCACGAATATTTAAAACACCATTTAACACATTTTTTTATTCTCTATTTTAATTTGTCACGAAAAATAATCTTGTAACCTTAATTTTGCATGCAGATACAAAAAGAAAAATATACGACAATCGATGTAACAGGAGCAGTTCCGCAAGGTCGACGAGGTCCCACAGAAGTTACTTTGACAGTCACAATCCCTTCTCACAGCGCTTTTTCGGTATAAGCATTGTTTTGAATTTGGTGTGCAGGAAAACTAAACTCACTAACTGTTAGCTTGAAATTGCCCTAACACTAATCCGCTACAATTTTTGACTTTGCTATTGACATATTTATCTTAAAAAGTTTTATTTTAATAATTTTTTATTCAAATTTTAACATTATTATACGACTTTTTCCTTTTTTCAATAGCGAACATTATCTTGTTAATTCAGTAAGTTTTATTATTTTTGGTTTTTCGTATTCTTAAAACTGTTTTACATTTAAAAAAAATTTGGTGTAAGATGTTTAAATATATAAGTTTGCATGTTATAATGTTCAATGTATGTCGTGTATAGTAATTAAGTACAACGAATGTGTTTTTAGACAACACCATATTTTTTCTTTTTTTTTCAATTTAAAAATTGTTGGCTATATTTCTTATATTGTTAATTGGAATTTTCATCATCCTATAAGTCGTCTAATGCACCGTTTCGGAGATTTACCATTGCCTTGAATGTTTAACGAAGAACGAAAAGAGAGATGTATAAAAAAATCATAGTCTTTAAGAAAGAGGCTAAATACGCTAATCTCTACGACATTGCTAATTAAAATGCAAAATTACTAGCATGGTATTCCAAGTACTAGAAGAAGGAAATACTCCTACTCGTTTTTTTAAATATATATAATAAAAGTTGTGCCAAACAAATTAGAAAACTCCCAAAACTACGTTACTGAATTATTTTTTTGGTAGCTTTATCAAAAAGCATATTTTAATAGACATATTACACAGCTTCCTCTGATTTTTTTTATCACACTGTGAATTCACAAAGTAATTACATTAATGAATTATATTAATAATAACTTCATTTATTTTTGTTGGAGGAATTAAAAATAAAAATCCCTGAGGAAATAAAAGTGACACGAACTACAAAAAATGGTGTATATTCACACACCTCAGGAGTAAAGTGGCTTTTACACTTTAGTCCCTTGGTTAAGTAGTATATTTTTTTCACTTTCTGGATTATTGGGTTCACTCTTGCTTTCAGTCTAGGAAACAGCATTTTTTATTAGTAATGCTTATAGTCATACAAAATTTTTTATTCCTATATTTGAAAAGGTCAAATAAAATGCTAGAACACAAAAATTAAATTTTGTTCTCATGTTACAGTAACAAAGTACTACTGTTGTATGTAATTTGAATAAAACATTTTCACTAAGTAAACAGAAGAAATTATCAAAGAAAGGAGGCGTGTTGTCATAAAAAATACGGAAGAATGAAGATTTTGAGCAATTCTAATGAATAACTAAGACATATTTAACTCAAATTTACATTTTAATTAATGGGCTGGGTAAGTAATGTCCGTTTTTTTTTCAAATTTAAAAATTCATATGAAAATTAAACACATTGTCAAATTGACACAACATCATTCGAAAGAGGACTAATTGCTCTATCAGATTGTGTTTGTGGTTATTTCATTAGACTTAATTTTTGTGAATTTTCATTAATTTGATTTGGAATGTCAAGCTCATTTTCGGCACTTAATTCATTTTGTTTTTAATCGAGACGAGGAAAACGCTAAAGTTGCTCAATAAAGCTGCTCGTGAAATTTGTGCCGTATATGATGCGATGATTGAACGAACGGCCTGTCGTTGGTTTTTGCTAGACGATCCAAGACGATCAACAAAAGAATTAGCTCGAGATGGTACCTATGTTATCAGAAAACAGTAAACCACCCACATTCGATGGGAAAAGTTCAAAGGCTCGGCGCTTGAGCCATGTTTTGGACGAAAAATCAATAATAAGTCAAACAATAAGTGTCTTAAGGAAGGTTTTCTTCATCGTATGGTGATGAAAAATGGTGTCTGAAGGAACTTGGAACAGCGAAAGGAATGGTTAAGCCTCAAAAAACAAGCAACTCCACTAACAGGACCAGAACTTCATCATCGAAAGATAATATTATGCGTTTGGTGGGATTGGAAAGGGATTCTTCATTACAAACTCTTACCAAACAATGAAACACAATCAAACCGTTAACGCAGAACTCTATGTCCAACATCTACGACGATTCCACGCGGCTATTAAATAAAAAAGATCTGATCGGCGATACGACATTCTTTTGCGCGTCCACATATCGCCAATTTGACCAAAATGGCCATTCGGGAGTTGAATTGAAAGGTTCTGCCCAACCCGCCTTACTCTCCTGATGTCGCGCCTTCTGATTTTCACCTCGTCCGCTCTTTGTCAACTCCTTACGCGATTTTTCTTTTAACAACGGGAATAAGTTGAATTAGTTTTTCGAGTCAAAACTGGAGGATTTCTACGGAAGAGGCTATTACTATTGATAATGACTAGAGTTAAAAAGAAAATATCTTAAATTTGAAAAAAAACGGACATTACTCATTCCACAAATCAATGGTATCAAAGTCCATAAGTCAGCATAGCAAAAAATAAATAACCTCAATTATTTTTTAACTAGACGTTTAAACATACGCCCATTAGCCCCACGATAAGGTATGGTAACATTTATAACCAATAACCCTGTATTTTTTTGTCCCGTTGCGTGAAACATATTTAAGAAGATAAAGATACGACATTTTGTCAGTCCCGTTACCTAACCACCACTAAGCTATTTTGTTGTTGAACAGTTGTGCAGATAAGTTATATTACATGTTTAGATAAGTTATATTACATGTTTAGAATAGGTTCTAGAGATAGCCCTCCTTTTCTTGATTCTTGGTAAAAAATAAATTAATTGATAGGTTTTTCAGTACTTACAAAACATGCGAAAACATTTTTTTTAATCATTCCTGTAAGTTATCTCTACTTAGATATTTATCTAAAGAAGGTGGCTCTGACAACTATGCTTCGCTTCAAGAACGTTGATATTACACCAAATGTAGGATGCGGAGAAGTGAGGTGTCGCCTATGGAATTAGGCCGTAAGGAATATGCCTCTTCTGCAGGCAGACACTGATAGCATTTCTCCTCAGTTTGTGTTTGACAAACCCTACCCAGTACTCATCATTGAGGATCAAAAGGGAAAAAAGGTACAGGATGTGGGATCTATTCTAGATCCCGATATCCGATATCAGTGGGCTATGGATGTAAGTGGTATAACCAAGCTGCTAAATAAATTTCCCGTAGGCAAATAAGGGGCAATGGCAATAAAGAAGCTGACAAGCTAGGCTAGGAGGTCATCGGGTTGTACTATATTCGGATACGGTCCCTTCAGTTTACTCTCACTGTCAGCACTTTGAAATTATTAAAGAAAACACCCGCAAAGAGTATAGAACACGGTGGGATGAAATAAACAGTTGTCAATTTGCTAAGGAGTTCATAGCAATGATACAGCCAAAAAATACTTGGCTATGTCCAGAGTAAGTCTTCGCCTAGTGACAGGTATTCAGACCGGACACTGTTGGCTAAGGAAACACCTCTACAATATATGAAGAAACACCTCTCTGTAGAGGTTGTGAGCAGGAAAACGAGACAGTTTTCCATGTACTCTGTGAGTACACTGGTGTCTCGTCAACGAGAGAATCTGTACTAGGAGAACGGTGGCCTTCTATGGCCTACATCAGGGAGATCCCCCCTGAGCAACGTCATCACCTTTTTCTCCTTGATAGGTTGGTAGACGACTCAGGAGAGCTCGCTCGCTGGGAGGGTGCACAAGGGGTCCAATGGGGCCTAAGTGCTGTAGCTCAGTATACTGAGCTACCTTCCAAATTATTCCAGAATCCAGTTATCTCTAGCCTACGTTATATAAAAAACACACATGCGGGGAGCCTCGAAGCAAAGTGAATTTGCTGCTCTAGACTATAGTCAAGTTTAGTCTTTTAAATAATTTCCCCACTTAGCCACCCAGTCGCGGAAAACGGCAGCCTTTGCTCAGATAAATTGCAGTCTTTGTTACCAGTATATTCCAACATCTTTAGCTGAAGTGCACGTACGTACTAATGAATTAAAAAAAAGTTGCGTAAACTTTCATCGTATGCTTCAGTGCAGATGATTTTATATCAAATACTCGTATTTGAATGAAATTTTCCTAAATTGGTAATTTTCTTTAATTTTATTAATAGAAAGTGGACACTACTAAATGTCCTTTATTATGTATATTACAAAATCACCAGTTAAAGTACATACTCGTATATTGTTTATCATTTCTTTATGCGTGTAATGTCACTACAGTAACCTGAACCAGTACCTGGGTTTTACATAATGTATAATTTAGTCACAAATCTTACATCTAGAAAGGGATTATGTATTTTTTTTAATTATAACATTAATTTTGATATTTTAAGCCACTGGATATGAAAAAAGCTTGTATATCTCAGAAATAAAGTGCCTTTTGATCCCTGGAGAACTTCACACTCGGAATTAAAAGATTCAGTTCTCCAATACAAAGGAGATACTTAATTTAACTTTTAATCCGCAGAGTGCAAATATATGTATCTACTAATAAATGAAGAATATAACTTCCCTATCTATTTACATTTATCTTCTTATTAACACTTAATTATTGGACATTGTAACTATTTGCTTGATGAAGTAATAGGATTTGTTTATTATTAATTAGATTTCCTCAACTGAGCATTGAGTTTACTTAAGGAAAATATTGAAACAGATAAGCTGGGAAAAATGTCTATTGCTTAGTGTCTGCATCATCATTATCTTCTGTGAGCGTATTTTTTATATTCTATAAAAACATAGCAGATAAATGCATTAGTGCACTTTGTACTAAAAAACAGACAGATAATTAAATCGATGTGACACAATCTGTTATTTATATTGTAGGAACAGAATAACGTCATTAACGGTAATTAGTTGCTGGCAAAAGTTAAGTGCCAAATTTACAAATAAATAGCGTTTAATTTGCTTTAGTTTAACTTGTAATATTAACTACCTTTCTCGATATTGTCAAATATTAGATATAAATATAATGGCATCTAATAAGCTTGGTGGCTATGTGGTTAAGTTATTTATTTTTTTAAATACTGATATTTTAGAATTTTATTTATA